ACAGATGCGTTACAGATTTCGTCCATCCTCGTTTCTCGACCGAGTGTACATCGCGTATACGGAGAAAATCCTTCTCCGACCGTTCTAATTTCCCTCTAGTGATTTCGACCCGACAAAATTATCGGAAATCCTGGCCCGAATACGATTATCCGTTGGCGTGTCGCTTTGCACGCTGCTCCGCACTTGCCAGGTTTGAGTTAAGGGGGGTAATTCAAAGAAGGGGAGGGGGAGTAATAGGAAAATGGAAGGTTTGTGCGAGATTGTTCACGTTCGTCTGATTAATATATTTAATAGAGGGGGGAGGGGAATATCGAAGAATTATAATTGGTATATATATATTTATAATTGGTATATATATATTTTTCATTTTGGAATTTTCTTGTCTTATAATTAAAATAATTTAAATATATATATATATGATAGATAATAATATATTGTTAATTCGTTTCTCGAGTTTTTTTTTCATGTTTCTTTTTAACTAATTAATTGCAGTTATTGAATATTGAATAATAACAATAATTATCGCGAGATTATTGTTACAATAAAAAGATTTACAAAGTATTGCACTTTATAATCAGCTTAATCTCTTTGAATAATCATTCGTTGAGTCGGATACGTCTGGAAATAAAGTCGGATAATTAACTCGAAATTTAATTATTCTATAACGTAATATAGTAACGGACTGACAGTTTCAATTTGCGAGTAATGAGATACGCGATGTTTAAATCTACGACGAAAAATCGATATCGCGATCATTGTACATAAACACGGTTGTATTTTAAATATACAAACTTTTTCGCACTTTTGTTTATTTATTGAAAAGCTAACGCATCCATTTTATCCTAGCAAACCATTTTATCACTGTTACGATATCTATGTATATATTTCGTGTTTATTATTCCGTATTTGCGTTGTACTTCTTCCTAACAACGTATGAAATGTTAAAAAAAAAGAAAAAAAAAAGAAATCGTCATCGAAATGCTAAAAAATACAAAAGAAAATTAT